TCTCTCTCTCTCTCTCTCTCTCTCTCTCTATATATATATATATATATATATATATATATATATATATATATATATATATAATATGTATATATATATACACACACACATAAGTATATCACAAAGTTCCGCCCACGAGCGGTCACCCCTTCCTAACCCAATAGGTACAGCCTAAATATGTATCAGTGGGGCCTTAACATTTCGACTGCACAGGGGCCCTCACTTAAACCGGCAGTGGAAGGAGGAGTGAGGGGGGGGGTCTCTCATCCCCGTCTCATCCCGTAAGTGAACACAAGAGCCATCTAAAATTCTTGCACCAATACACCAGCGTGAGTGAAGAATGAAAACAAGTTAAGATTTTCGGTACCACACCACCATATGGGATGAATCACATACTCATTTACTAATAATTCTTTACCCCTACCACCCTTTTCCAATTTCTATTCTCAATTTTTACAAATTTACATTAATAATAATTACTTTTTAAAAATATTTTGTTTACCTTGATATTTCTCACCACAGAATAATGGGGGACACACATTTTGGGTCTGAACAACTCCAATTCGATTTCTAAAAATATCAGAGGGCTTCTTGTTCCGAGCATTGAGCTACATTGTATCAATTGTTTATTGTATTATATTTGTCAGATGAAGAAGCAGTAGCGTAGCGAGGGTGTTTGGCGCCCGGGGACAAGATTCGCACCCGGGGACAAGATCCATTTTTGCGCCCCTTTTTCTTTTTTTCAACTCTCAAACCCATTATTTTCATCAATAAAATAATATCAAAGCACATTTTGGCGCCCCTAACTAGCTGGCGCCCGGGGACATCTGTACCCACTGCCCCCACCACGCTACGCCTCTGTGAAGAAGGCATCCAGCCGGAACGTCTGCTTAATTGTCTTGTATTTTTATTTTCCAGCCTTAACTATTGTTCCATTTTTTATATTTTTTTTTCTTACTTGACTTGAACGCAGTCCATCATATATTATATTTTTGGTAAAACTCTCCCCAAAGTATACTGCAAAATACTATTCTGATGTTTATTAAAGGGTCAGACAATTGGCACAAGGGATGAGCTTATGGCACCAAAAGATTTTTAGGACCACTGATACAAACCCATAAAATATATTTTTATGATGGATGTCACATAAACAAAAATTACTGTCAATGAATTCTAAAAAAAAATAGGTTTGAAACTACTATTTGAAAAAAACTCAAGAAACTTAATCAATTAATTTTTATGGCTGTTTATGCTTTCCAAAATAATTTAATTACTGTAACTTTTGTATCCTATATAAATTTGTTTTATTAAATGCATTATTGGTACATAGACATTAAAAAAAATTAGAACTAGGCAAAATAAAAAAGGAGTTTTGAATTTTTTCCTCTAAGACTGACAGACATGAGTTAGTGATACGATTAGTTCTCTTCTTCTTCTATATCTTAAGGGCCCACGATCAATTTATTGATCATTTTGGCTCCTATGCATGTAGATGGGATTTGCAATGTTTCTGTTACTGGTGTTGATGAGGAAATTATGCACAAGGGGTTTGAAGGCTTGAGGCAATAGACACAAATGTGTCTAGCGTTGTCGCCTCAACCGTTCTAATCAAGGGAACTAGAATACTCTATCATGTAGTTGATATAGTGAAATACTGTAATACTGAACCATACCGCAATGAACAACTGAATTTATACTTATTTGCCTGTTTGTTGGACCGTACTGATGAAGGCATGCGCTAAAACGTATACTTTTGTATTCTTTAAAATTATTATTAAAGCTTACCAGATATTGTTATATTGACACAAATTGTTGGTGTCTATTTAATCATACCACAATGTGTTGATTTGACTTGATTTATATTTGTTCAAATCACCAGCTTTTTTGTGCTAACCTCTTCAAAGTGACAGGATTTAGGTTCAGCAAGCGTTAGATACTTTCCTTAATTGGTATGAATTAAATTTAAAAAACAAACAACAGATCTTAAACATTTATCTTAAAGATTTTATTACCGGTATTTACAGCACATTCATAAAATCAAAATTCTGTTTAAGATTTCATCACCACTAACATATATTTCTTTAGTGTGAAGTGATCAACTTAAATTCTGTTGCCTATTTTTGAACTTGAGAATTAAATTTAATGAATACACCTATTTACAATACAAATATACTGCATCAAATAACATATGACTTGACTTACCAATAGAAGTTAGAGCAGAAATGAACCTTATGGGACTAATATGTGATTTAATAGTGAATTTTGTTTGCATGTGACATAATGATAACTTGAGGACTTCAATTACCAGATCAAACTAACATACAGTTACAGTATACATATCAGCTATACACATTGGACATTTGAAGTTAGCATAGCAAGAAGTCATTAAAAAAATGAATATAAATGATTAGCTTCTTTAAATGCATAAGGATTAAATTAAAAGACATTTTAAGCATGGCATAATATTTGCTGACACTGAATACATTTTAAATAAATGGAGTTTTAGATGTTTGAAAACATTAATTACTGAGTATATAAACTGATTTAGTTATGTAATTAAGAACAGAACATAATCAGTGTTAAAATAAACCTTAACTCTAATGCATGGAGTGTATTATCATCTTTTGGAGTAAAAATGTTTACATTAATTTTTCAAGGATAGATATATTTATATCTGTTAAAGCCATGGACATACAACTGTACAATTACCCAAAAGCTTAGTGTTATTATTATGCAATTTGGCAATAGAGATGGTTTTAGTTAAATGGCATTCAGTAGTTGGGAAGAGTTCATGATTTGAAAAAATCAAGTTCATTTAGTGAACGGTATCCACAATAATTTTTTCAGACCTGAATACTATTTTAATGGGTTCCTACATGAGACAATAATGAGAAAGATAACCTTCATAAAATAGTTTTATTTAAAATATCAACAACTATTCTTCATGTTACTCTATTTAAATAAATACTAATGTAAACAGTAAAAATCCACATTTCTTTGTTTTAAATTTCCCTACGTTTGGTAATATTTAATTGTTTGTATTGCTTAGTTTAAGTTGAGCAAAAAATTTAGTTTGCTCTTGAAGCCAGCAAAATTAACTTCATACACAATTAAATATATACCTTTTTTTTAATACTAAATTTCACTGCGAAAAACCCCCAAAAACCAATGCTTTTCTTGGCTGTACAAATTAGACATATATTATTTAAATGAAGGAATGACACAATAATTTCATAAGGTTTATAATTACAAAAATGGCAAACTGAATTAACAATTTAAACTTTCTAAGTATTTGTTTTGGTACATGTGTTATTTAGTAATTTGTGTACAATCCTGGTCTACTGCCACTAAAACTCACAGAGGTTTGAAATGGCCTGAACACATGACACTGGAATGGAGTTATGGGTTTTGAAAATGACATTCCCCAAAGCAAAGATAGCCATACAGACACCAATATCCCACAGTGGTTATTCCTTTAATTTTCTTATTATTGATTCAATATACTTTAGTTTCTTGTGCCAACCCTTTTTTCCCCCATCCCTTCCTATTCAGTAGGTAGGAAATAAAGTATGCAAAATTTAAATTTGAGTGATTTATGTATCAGTATACTCATAAGTACTTGTAGCAAAACAATTTTAATTGTATTTTCTCTTATTTATTACAAATCAACCCTAATTGTTACTTACACAAGAAGTTTGTGTCTTTAATCTTCTGAAGCTTTATCACAGTGCAACTCTCTTGTAATTAGTTCACTTAACCTAACATAACTTACACTCAATAGTACCTTCATTTTTTAAAAATAATAAAATTAACGATTTCAAAATTATTTTTTAAAATTTATAATTGTAGCACTATTTTTATTACTTCACAAGAAGTCTAAATCTCAGTCTAAATTCTTTTAATTAACTCTTTTGCTGCGGAGCAAATCACACTGTGTTCATCCCCCGTTCTCAAAAGCACGGACCAACGCGCTCTGCTTTTAAATATCATGTTTGTTTCTTTGCTATTTCTCGGTTAAACTTTTTAAGGGTTATTTTAAATAAGATTTTTACACAGAAGAGTGGTACTTCATTGTTTATAAGCAAAACCAAGGTTTATTTGTTGTCACTTGAAGCATTATTTTAATGTTTTTCTTTGCTATTTTTTTATACTGTTGCTATGGCTACTCTAGACCCTAGTAAGTAGGTTTCCTAGATCATTAACAGCTCATATAGCTTTGGAATTGTTTTATATTATTTATTTTGATAGTGAAGATGATTTATATTTAGATCCATCACATGATTCCGACAGTAGTAGTTTTAAAGGATTTGAGTTATAGAAGTGAAGATGAGGTATGCGTAAATCATAGGGTTTGGGTAAAAAATGGTTTAGCATGGTTCTTTTCTGTAACTTATTTTATTTAAACTGAAGAAATAAATTTACAAACATTTAGTTCTTTCACTTATCTTTCATTTGATACCAAGTTTAGTCTTATAAACCAAAGAATAATATTTTAACTATTTTTTAATAAACCCAACCTCTCACTCTTTTATGCTATTTAAAATAAATATACATTTAGATAAAAAATTCCGCAGCGAAAGAGTTTTAACTGAAGATGAAAGTAAAAATAATTATTTTTATAATTTTTGCCATCTTATTATAGGGAGGCTCAAATTATATGCATGCAAGGATTTTATTGAAATAAAATGAGCCTTTCAAAACAAAACAGTGGCATGGACTAATGAAATGCAATGAGTCACCACAATCCCAGCCCCATGACTAACCAACATCTTGGACAGAGCATGACTGTTCTTGGAACAAATATTAATCTATTCTAACTAATATATTTCAACAAGTTAGAGAAAAATATATTTTACAATTGAATTCCCAGACACAATTATTTATTGATTTAAACACTTTTACTAACAGAAAATTGTGTAAAATGTCAGGTCAAAGAAGAATTTTTTCAAATTAAAAAAAATATTGGATTCTTATTTTATGTCGGTTGGCTAAATCAGCTTTAATCAGGATATTTAATTATACCCCAGGGCAATAAATTGTGGTAACAGATCTACAGTAATACTTCAATAATATATGTTTTCAAGGGATGGCTCTTGATGTACCTTATAGCTCCAAGTTAGCTAAATACAATGACGAAAATGGCATCAACATGAAGCAATCCAGCAGAAGGAAATTAAATCAAATAAATTGCCCATATCATTTTTTCAGAATTCCCCGCATCTGTGTGTTCTGGTGGCTCAATAGCACATCTGTGGAGTCCACTTTAACATTTATTCTGTCGAGCTGATCGTTCTGTCTTTGAATCTCATCTCCGAGACCCAAAGCAAGGCCTTTAAGTCGTGACATACCATCGCACATAAGAGCTGTCAAGGAAAAATAAATCAAACAATAAGTGAAGAACAATTATTAACTAATTATACAACAGACATTTTTGCAATTGGGATTATGAAAAGAAAAGGCGGTTGCTTTCAATCGTAACTCACAATTTTAAATAGTTTCCCGAAATACTGTATCTGAATGCAAACAGTTATAGGGAAATAAACAAATTATTCTCATTAAACACTCCTCAGGTACCGGTAGCTAATAAAAAAAACAAATGTGTCATGAAGTCGGAGCATTTAAAATTACAAACTGATATGTATAGAGGTCTAAAGCTCTCTTAATCATACCAGTAAAATATATGATACCAGCTGTGGAAATATACAATTTTAGATGAAGGAAACTGATTTCAGTTTTGCAGTTATACATACACAAATTTTGGTCTACTTCCTCTTCCCTTGCTGATCTCGTTACAGGAGTTATCATCGAGTACTGGCCAGCAACTGGCTTTTTAGCTCCAGCCATGAATCTTGCATCTACATCCTCATCATCATAAAATCCACTTGTATCTGGTTTGGTCTTCTCAATACTTTCTATTGTTGTTTTAAGCCTACAGTGAGAACAAAACATAATGTATTATATAAAAATGTCAACAATTAGTCTAGTATACTATAACAGCAATAACTGTTAGTAAAATTTCTTGTTTTAATTTTACTTTTCAGACTGAAACTATGGGCCTAGGCATAATCTTGATTTTAAAAAAATCCACTTCAGATGGAAAATTCCTTATGGAGTTAATTTTTTTAATATTTATAAGTGTAAGGATTAGGAATATTAGGAATATTAAATCTCATACAAAGTTATATAGTTACAAAGATGTTGTTAATTTCCATTACAATATTTCTCCAATTTAATATGAAAAAAATATTTTATTTAATTATAATTAAGATAAAATTTATTAGTAATAAGGATAAAAAATATTTGAAGAAGAAAATACTTTGGATTTTACATTAAAAAATTTACAGTATTCTTGTTATAAATACAACATATACAGTCTGCATTACTTTGAGTTTGCACTTTCCTCCGGTGTAGGTGCTTGTGCTGACTTTTTATCACTAGACCACCAATTCTTGATTCCACCAAAAACACTTTTTATATTATTTAAATGTCGTTGTGAAGTTTTCAGGTTTTGTTGCATGCCTTCTGTTTTAGTTTCTATGTTATTTAAAGTTTCAGCCTGTCGTAAAAGTTCCTAAAAATATAATAAGAAATAGTAGACAATATAAATTATTCATGTACAATGTAAAGAGACTTTAAAAAAAAAATTTAAACTGAAGTAAATTATGTATCATGAACTGAGTTGGCACTTAGTTGGAACAACAGCTGACTCCAACAAATAAAATAAAATAATTATAGAGATTATGTGTAAATTATAATGAAATATATTACAGTAGCTTATAATATTAAACATCACTTTTACAAAAATTATAATATGTTCATACTATATTGTCTATATGCTATTAAATTATATACCGGGTATTATAAATATATAAATATCCTATATGATGTATGTAGGCACACTGATTTAAATTTCAAAACATTTTTTAACATATAAAAATACTACAACTGTATAGAGCCTAGAGAATAGATAACAGAAACACCAAGATCAACTTTCTAGCTCAAGTGGTTCAAAAGTTATGAATTTTTTATTAAGGACCTCAAAACCACCTTTTTTACTATGGCATTGTCCTCCACAAGTGTGACCCCCTATTTGGCTTTAGCGTTTACGCCTATAACTTTATTATAAAATGAGATAAAAATATAATGTTTAAAGGGAATATAGTTGGATATGACTTTTACTAAATAAAACTACAAATTTTAAATTTAGTTATTGTTAATATTCCCAAAAAAATTCTATGTCTATAATTTTCCTTATAAAAATGTTACTAAATGTATAACATATGCTGACTCGAAACTTATTTATTTTTAATTAATTAGATTTTTAAAAATATATATTTTTTAATTTCCTGAAAATAATTATAATGTTCTTAAGACATTAATTTTTAAATTTTCTGTGAAATTGTTTTACATTTAAAAGTATAAACAAATAATACTGGGATTATTTGATTCATTTAGTTAAAATTTATGATTATACTTTTTATTTTATCATTTTCTACATATATATTCAATTTTCAAAGCTTTAACCTCGAAAAAAAAATTAAATGAATATTCAATCAATAGAACATGAAATGCAAGATGTCGGCTTTAAGTAATTTACATTGGCGGATGTAGAATTTATTATTATGCTAAAAATCAACTATAAAAGACAAACCAATGATACCCTCAGTAAATTAAAAAGTGGAGGTGGCCATTTTGACATTGACAACGAAATTACTATACCCATTTTTCTGGTATGTAGGCCTAAGCCTAATATATGAATATGCCATAAACTAAATATCAGAAATCATATTCGAACCTCTGCTGTTGCAATTCCCATTGCCTCAGAATCATAAATGCTTGCTAAAGCACGTTGTGTACTTTCAAGTTGGGTGTTTTCGGAATTTTCAATTTGCTGTATTAAATGTTGGTGGCGATCTTCAAAGGGGTTGGCTCCATCAGGGGAATTAATTTCAGATGAATAATTTTGCTTTTGTTGGCGGTTATAATTTGGTACTGATGAGATTGATGATTTATCAAAAGAGCTTGCTGATGGGTTTACAGAAGAACGCAAAACTGTTTCATTTTTTGAGGCAAGGGGTTGTGTCCTGTTAAATTGTGATGATGAACTTGAAGACGAAGAAAGTGTTGATCGCTTGTCAACTACAACGAAATCTCCGTCCGGGTCGTCATCTTCAAATGGATTTGATGTTTGCTTGTACCGAGACATTTTAAGAACACAGTAATTGATTTAATCAAATTATTGTTTTTAATATTAGGTATTTATATAATAGCTATAAAGCAGATAATATCAGTGGCAAAAAAATTTCAAATCCAAGAACAGTGACTAAGAGTGTGTGTAAAATGATGATGATGATGAAGTCTAGCAATGTCAACTTCCGTTTTAGAAATATATTTTTACGGTGTGTATAATAAATGTTTCCATTTTTATTTAAAATGTGCAACTTACAACTTATGCGTTTTATCACGAGTGTGCTTATAGAAACCAAAATGAACGTGAAAAACTGCAGGAAATTATTGAAGATGAAAACATCAAACATAATGACAAAGTAATGTAAGTAAATAATAAATCCTATCCTACTATTATATTTTAAGAGTAAGTTAATACTACTGTTAAAATGTTCAATGTTAAAAATTGAAATTTATTTACGAGGTAGAGTCGGTAGAGCATATCTTCGTTACTCATATTTTAAAGGGTCTATTATCTTGTGATGTTGTGTATGACTTATGGGGTGGTTTAAAACTGGATAAATTTACATACTATTTAGCAAGGGGGGGGGGGCGCTGTAACATTTGCACCCATTCCAAACGTGGCCAACCTGATGGCGTATCTTAAGTAGCCTATCCTGTGTGCCACCCCTGGCGTTTTTTTCGAGTTTTCTGCACTTCACTCACCAGATTAAAAACAATTATCTACGGGTTATGGGAGCAGATATGAGAAAGCATGTGTTTGTGTGTGGTTGTGTGGGGGGTGTGACGGTCAGGGTTTGACGTACCGGTATGAGGAAGTTGGTTGGAGGAACGATGAAGGCCTAACGTCAGACTCTTGAGTTTGATGAGTCTTATGGGGGTGAGGAAAAAGAGATTATTGAGTTTACTATTAGATAGCATTGTGAGTGGGAATGTTGATAATTATGATTGGGAAAAGCTATTTATGTTAGTGTAATTTCTTCGAAATAATGAAACACATATTTTACATATGAACATGTCAATTGTTGCGTAACATACTTTCATATTTAAAGCCTTGAATAAAAAGAACATAAACAAGTTCCCCCTTGTATAAAATAACCGTAAATTAAGGGCAGTGTAAATGGAACGTGAAGATATCTCGCCAGGAGAAGCAGTTGGGGGATTAGGGTGTGTGTGGGGGTGGTGGAAGGGTGGAATCAAATAAAACACAAATCGTCAAGTTTCAACCTATAAATAATCCATATTTTGTAGACTTAACTTTAACTATTAATAATATTTTTAATCTCTTAAAATATGTGTGTATATATATATATATATATATATATATATAATAAACATGTAAGTGTTAAATTTCAATATATTAATTAGTATTCCTTAACATTTGACTCAAACTGATATAGATTCCAACAATGTTATATAATTATAATAATTTATTTCTTTAACAGTTATAATAAAAATGCGAAACTAGCTGGACAATCCTGGTAGTAAATTGAATAATTACTGTACCCGGTACCTTCAATAATTATTTTGTGTGACTTTAGTGGGCATTTAACCGTTTATGATACCGTAATCTCAGTAATTTAAGAGGATTTAAAATAATATAAAAATGGTTAATTTTAACAGCTTAATTTAAAATATTTGTTATTTATGCTCTTTATTTGAATAAAAAACTATCCTAAACCAAAAGGTATCGAACTGATTAATAATAAATTTTGATAATCGGTTATTCTTTATTATGGCGCGGTGAAAACAAAATACCAAGCGTCGAATGGCTGATGAATGATGATTTACATTTACAAATCTCACTAAAGACAACCACAACATTATTATTGAATTAATTTCAACTTCATCAAAAAGTGGTTATCTTAGCTTGTATATAATGCTTGTAAAAGATTTTAAACGGGATTTTTATGATGTTTTACAAAACCAGGTAGGCTTAGCTACTTACTTACTACTTTAGTCTTTTAGTACTAGTACTTAGTACTGTGTTGTGTACTTATTAGCCCTTCTAGCTAGTGCCAGGGCTAGGCTAACCCAACCCCGTAAATCACACTCACACTACTTTGACTTTAGACTTTACTTGTTAACTTCAATACTAATACAGTGCCGAGTGCTATCAGCAGCCTTAGCCTACCAATGTGTCGAACTCTAAATTATATTATACGCCTGCTAAAACTAAATTATGAATAGATAACTAGCCTTAAGTATTAAGTAGGCTACTTATTAATTTAAGTTTAAGTACCAAGACTATACCTGCCTCTGATGAACACAGCTGTTGTATGGACCCTGTAACCCTGCAGCTGCTTGGGACCTTTAATATTTAAATTTAAGGGGCCAAAATTTGTGATGTGGAAAACAAAACTATTAACTTAAAATCCAGGTGGGTTACGAACCCGGTCTCACTTAAAGAGTTCGTTGTCTAGGGGTTTAATTATAAACACTTCACAAACCATTATTCTCATACTAAATATCTTTATTAACGAACTAATCTACATTTTGAACTGCCATTACTCACTAGACCACACTCCACAACAATACTACGTCATATCCCTTTCACACAATAGTACGTCACAAGATACTAAAATAATAGATAAAACAACACACATAATCTCTAAACAACACGCAATCACAATATACATTTAAGTCCTCAACATTCCTCCCCCGCTTCGTTTGACATTAATTTGAAAAATTCACGTCACCCACAAATACATATCCCAAAATTTGTCAATAGACATCAAACAATTAACAAGAGTAGGTACCAAATGTAAACCAATCAGTTGCAATATTACATTTTAAATTAAGCGAAATGTATTACAAACAAACTCATGACACATTGCCACCCCAAAATGTTTAACTAACCTAGCATCTTTTCAAAACTACATCCTAAATATGAAAACGTCAGTGCTAAACTTTAACTTCTGTTAATTTAGATTTCATATACTCTTATCAAATTATGAAAAATTATTACATTGACAACAAAATTATTGTCACGCACACAGAAATTGACCACAAAACAAACTCTGCTTCCTATGGCCCTCATATGGGGGAAAAAAAATGTCAACATCTTTGAGCTCATAGGAACATCCCTAAATTGTCCAGTCCGATATTCAATTGTTATGGCCTTTTGACACATTATCGACTAACAAATTAAATCTTTTCACATTTAAATTCTTAAATATAATAATTTAAAAAATCATTAAAATTGTAACAATGAACAAAGTCAATTATAATGACAAAATCAACAACCTCACCTCCCAACTCATGGAAAACACACACCTTCACAAAAAAACGAAAAACGGACCTATCATGGCTCTCAAAATTTGAGCACTCCTGGCTTTCATGATCATATATATCACACACATCAAAATTCAAACACATTTTCTCTTCTACCCCCATCTGAGGGAAAAAACTCGCACCCTTCAAGTAATGTTTATAATCCTTATTTAAAACGTTAATCTCAGTGGCCCAAAGGTTCCCAAACCTCGAGTAACCCGTGTCTCCTACACCACATAATTCACGGACTTGACCACTACCCTCGTAGCGCCACGTAAGGTGATCTCCTATGACCTCTACTATGTTGAACTTACGCCTCCTCGACAAGCTCACGACCTCTACTTCTTGATCTCCGTAGCGTGCCCAATTCTTAATATTATGAACATCTCCCTCTTGCACAAAATCAACATCTAAAATATCAACAAATCTCTCTTGAACACTAACAACATTTCCCTGTTGTTCAATATCAAAACCCTCATAGTGTGCAATTAATAAGGCTACACCTTTTACATCGTCAACAGCCCCATCTAATATTCCCTCAGCATCCACATGCTGTACGATACAATCTACGGCCTGCACACCTTCACAATACAGATCTATTTCCTGTGCATTATGGAATGTCATATGTACAGTCTCCATGTTCAATGAAACATTTTCAAGACAACACTGTGTCATGCCTACATTCAGTACCACTGCATCAATTTTACCACACTCAGCCCCAAGTTTTTCTACATCCTGGCTAGCAAAACTCCTAACTGACTCCTGACTGTCGGCTACATTTAAAAACTTCCTGGCCTCCTTAACCTCAACCATAATGGTCATTTAAATTTACCTCTTTAATTACCTCTATAAATAACTCTGTCTCCCTATCCTCAGTTACATTTGCATTACATTTCTCTGGATACCTAAGTTCCTCCATAACTTCGTTAATATTTTCCTGAAACTCTTTTTCAAAAGTGATTTTACTGTCTATCTTGTCTATCCCTCTCCTCCTTTTCTAGCCTATCTTGTCTTTCTCGTTCTTTATCCCTCTCCTTTCATTCTAGCCTATCTTGTCTATCCTTCTCCTCCTTTTCTAGCCTTTCTTTTTTCTATTAGTTTACATTCCACCCAACTAATCAGAGCTTCGTCTTTATAACCCAGGTCCTCTCCAAACTCCCTTAGTTCCAAGATCAATCATCTACACCTGTTCCCATTTTTTAATTCATAAATTTAACGACCAGGGTAGCGTAAAAACAACAGTCTAAAATAATAAATTTAAATATGTTATATAACACAAAAAATGATACATATATCTATGTACAGAAATAAAATTCTTAATTAACTATAAAGAAAACTCAAAGTAAGTAACTTAAGTCTATCTTGTTCATCACGGGTCTCTGGACTACAGGTCTTGGTCTTGTCACTAATAATTTGAACAGACAGCGATATACTATCAAATGGGGGTACAGCATAGCGCACAGCAGGAAACAGTAATGCTAGGATGCAGTCACAGTCTGATACGGGCCCAGTAGGATACAGGCCAGGCAGCGGTTTACCGTCAAACCAGGGAACAGCACAGCAGCATGCAGTGATCGCAGGATGCAGACCCAGTGAAATTCAGACCCAGCAGGATACAGGCCAGGCAGCGGTTTACCGTCAAACTAGGATACAGCACAGCAGGATGCAGACCCAGTGGGATACGAGGCCAGGCAGCGGTTTACCGTCAAACCGGGAACAGCACAGAAGCATGCAAAGATTGCAGGATGCAGGTTCAGCAGCATTCAGTCACTGCAGCATGCAGACATGGCAGGATACCAGACAGCGTAAAATCCTATCAATCGGGATGCAGGACAGCAGGATACAAACCCAGCGGGACACAGGACCAGCAGCACACATATACATCAGCATGCAGGCATGGCAGGATATAGGAGCCCAATCCCGAAAGAACCTCCCAAATGTTACGAACCCCGTCTCACTTAAAGGGTTCGCTGGCTTCGTTGTCTAAGGGTTTAAGTCCTCAACAGGGTGCACAAAACAAAAGTAAATTGACAGGGCAGGGACCGTCAAGTCTCAAAGTCAAACGGCTCTGCATGAACACACTAACAGACCAAATAACTTTATAATAATAACATGGACATGATTTAAGGCTTAATTTTAGGGGCCATGGCTTAAGCTTAAGGCCTATAGAAATCCTATTCAATATATCATTAGGACCTATTACGATATGTTGAATTTGACTGTTTTCATCTAATTAGACCCGTTACATGAGGAGCATGGACGTGAGAACTTTGACATAACTGAACTTACATTTTATTTGGGTGTCATTCTGTCTAAATGAAGATGGTGTGATTTTTCCTGGAAGATGTGACCTGTGCCAGATTAGGTGTATCTACTGGTTCCATGTCCGAGGATCCCCCCACTCCTCACAATGGGGACATTAAATGGATGATAGTTGATACAGTTTGTATGTCATTTTCGGGCGTTGACACACTTTACTCACAGCATTTAACAATAGTGTATCCTAAAAGGGTTCAACACTGGTGTTATGGGAAGAATAAGCCTAAGTGTAACACCATTAATTCTGATCAAGTTCTTTAAACTTAGTTAGTGCTTCTATGGGTACTTATCTTGGCTAACATTTTGGATAATAGTACGTCACAAAGACACCCTACTCACCTCGCCAACTTTAAACCTACTGACAGCCACGGCTGGTTACTCTGCTCTTTTTCCCAACCTAAATCTTGTAATCAACTACATAATCTTCGTTGTTTTTGCCAGTCTGAGGATGACTTTTGGGACTAGGCGCTTGAGATGATTGACTATTTCCGATGTAGGTTTTACTTGTAGACATTACTTTCATCAGCCCTTCAATGGGTTAAAAATATCACTTGTGCTAATGCCTTCTGATCTCGTTCGAGTGACAATGGCGGCAGGACCAAACTTACTCTCCCATATCATCCTCACAATCTCATAACTAAAGACATTTTCCTTAAACACAGCGCCATTCTCCTCGCTGACACCCACAACTTTTCCTCAGCCCCCACCTCTAATTGTTTTCAGAAGAGCTAAAAATATGCGAGAAGGCTTCTTGATGACTCATTGGTTGTTTCATTGCGTCCTTTTTCAGGTTTTCCCATAATTTGTTTAGCTAATTTCCTCTTATAGGTAGCTACTACCCATAATCTAATGACTGGCTTGGCTTGCCATAATATAAAATAATGCAGTTGCAAACACAAATAAACCAAAAAATAATTACAGGTAGACATTAGACTATGACCTAAAGCTGCTTTTGGATTGTGTTAAATGTTGTTGAGGTTAGTTATTTTATATGCGTTATCTACAAAGTTTAATCATATTCGGAAGTCCCCTAATTTGAGTAAAAAGTGAGTTACACCAGAGGTCTCTTGAGTACCAAAACTATGTTGAACATTAACAGTGCACCGCTCATCAGCTGTGCTATCCTCATGTTTTGTTTTGTTAGAAATCTTCCAAATATCGCAAAAATTATATGATCAATATTTAGTTTAAATTTGGTTTTGTTCTATTTTTTTATTCTACAGAGAGTTTTAGTACTAGTTGCATTTGATGTGGATGCACTGTGTGCATGTAAAATTTTACAGGTAGGTAGAATCCAGTGACAATAATTCTGTTAGGAATATTAACAATTTAAATTATGAAATAACCTTATAATGATATAATATTAATAATAACTAGGTCACAATTAAAAAACAACATGAGATCGATTCAATTTCAGATGTACATGATTATACTGATACTAGCATAGCTGTGATTACAATCAATCAATAGTTTACTTTAACTGAAAATTGTATTAAATTTTTTAAATATTTGATATATTTTTGTTTTTAAAGGAAGCAGACAAGTGAAAACAAGTACATATTATATACATGTATGTGTGTGGATGCAATTTTCTTTAAAAATAAACAATAAATAATATGTCTTTCCCTCTAGTTAAAAAACTTTGAAAGGCTTGGCTAGCATCTTCTTGTTTTCTTTAGTATTTATTTCAGTGTGACCAAGTTTTATATACCATTGTGCCAGTTGATGGTTTGCAAGGACTTGAAAATGCCTTTTTGGAAAATGCTGAAGGGGTAACTATTTAGTTAAATTTACCTTATTTAAGTACCTGGTACCCACTAACAATATTTCCTGCATAAATATATATATATTATTTGTTATCATAAAGCCTATTGAATAATTCTATGATAAAAAAAAAACAATTGGTATTGACTGGACAAAATAAACACGGTGACTACTCTGATATTTATCTCAAGAGTTTTTTAAAGTCAAATGTCTTTTGAGTTTTGCATACACTATATTTTTGCAGATCAAGCATGTTGTGCTGATCAACTGTGGAGCAGCCTTTGACATAGTTGAAATTTTGCAACCAGAAGATCATGTTCGTTTTTACATCTGTGATAGGTATTGGCTTTTCCTTAATTTCTAAATAAATTATTGAATTTTGATATGCCCTTAGGGCTGTCCTACCTATTTGTAAATTATAAGGAAGCATGGTGTTGTTTTTGCATTTGTGTTTCTTTTAAAACATTTTATCAATTTTGGGCTTTAAAATATTGATATTTAATTAAAGGCTGGTACAATGGGTACATTAGATTAAGGTACTGATATATAATTAAAGGCTGGGTTGAATTAAAGACAGGTGACCATGAAATAGGGTTGTGTTTCAATTATAGGTAAGAGAAGTGATGAATGTCAATAGGACAGTCAATTTTTCATGAGTTATTTTACAAACAATAACGCATAGCCCCATCTGGAAGTGTGCAAATGAAATGCTATAGAAGCAAATGCTACTCTTGCTAACTAGCAAATACTTTTAATTTTTAAGACTTAAAAAAAAAAAAATAAGTACAATCCATTTATACCTCACAGGCAAAATAAAATGAGGTGGCATACTGGTTTTGGCCAATGGGTTACAGTTTGTCAATCCCTGCTTTAAACTCTTAGTTAATTACTTTTATTATGAGCCAGGTGTATCCTAATGATACAAATTTATTGTTTAAATATTCCAAAGTGCGGTTAGTTAAAAAAAAAATATTTGCAACATTTTCTCCAGCCATCGACCTGTTGATGTGCACAACTTTTACAATGCTGTTCAAGTCAAGCTGTTGATGAGAGAAGATGAACTCTCTACAATACCCAGCTATGATGAAGTCTTTAGAGATGATGTAAGTCTTATTGTTAAATAACTCACTAAAAAAGATTTAAGCTGTGGTATGTCTTGAATATACAGGGCTTGAAAATGAAAACAAGTTTTATATTTAGTTTTAGTTTATCTAAAAGTCCAATGATTCAAAAGAAATCACTCCCATGTTTTTTTTCACCTCTTTTCAACCAATTATAATTATAACACTTAAAATCAAAAACATGTGAACAGAATATTTTTGATAAAATAACAACCAAACTTAATTGTTTTTAGTCAGAAGATTCTGGCAATGAGAGTGAAGACTCAGAAACAGGTTACAAAAGGAAAAGGTTCGATGAGGAGTCTGTGTTGCGACGACAAGAGAGAAGGAGGTGGAATGAAAACAGGTAGGACAATTGTGCTGAAGTGTGACTCTGTAGTTCTGTTAGTTTGTCATGTTGATTATTTTCAAAGCTTCAACACCAGTAGAATAATATTTTCTCTTTCCACTGGGAATGAATATCATCCCTCTACTTTAAAAAAAAAATTAAAATGATATCTAATAGTACTTAAAGGCAAAATGGAATATTTCTTTTTTCTACTTTTTTCTTCTTTATGCATTTTTACCCCGTCTGGGGCATAGGCCGCCCGCACGAATTTTCCACTCATCACAGTCCTGTGCTTTCATTTCCAATTGCTTCCAGGTGTATCCCATATTTTGCATGTCTGCCTCTTCTCGCATCTCCATGTATTCTTAGGCCTTCCTCTCTTTCTTTTTCCCTGTGGATTCCATGTTAGGCATTGTCTAGTGGTGCTATCTGAGGGTTTTCGGAGAGTATGCCATATCCATCTCCATCTTTTCTTTATGATATCTTCATCAATGGGCACCTGGTATGTCCTTTCTAGTAGGTCTTTGTTGGTGATGGTATTCGGCCATTTGATGTTCAGAATCTTTCTAACGCATGTGTTTGTGAAGGTCTGCACTTTCTGCGTAATGCTCGCTGCTGTTTTCCAAGTTTCTGCTCCATATAGTAGAACTGTTTTGACATTTGTATTAAAGAGTCTGACTTTGGTTTGCAGTTTCAGCTCCTTCGACTCCCATATTTTCTTTAATAGCACAAATGCTGATCTAGCCTCGAATCAGCCATTTGTCTATATGGTGCTGCCTTACTATGTGAAGGTCTCCACTTCTTCCAGCCCCTTTCCTGTCAGAGAGATATGCTCTTGGGTGGTTGAGTTTACCTTCATGATTTTTGTCTTGCTTCTATTTATTTCGAGTCCGAGCTGTGCTGAAATGATGGCTACGTCTTTTGTCTTTTCCTGCATTTGTTGCTGGTTGTGGGACAGAAGTGCAATGTCATCTTCAAAGTCTAGGTCATTCAGTTGTTCCCAGAGTGTCCACTGTATCCCATTCCTCTTTTTGTCCTGGGATTTTTTCATTATCCAGTCAATGGCAAGGATGAATAGAAATGGGGACAAGAGGCATCCTTGTATGACGCCTGTTTCCACTGTAAAGGCATCTGTCAGTCTACCTTCGTGGACCACCCTGCATGTCATTTCTTCATCAGAGCTCTGAATGATCCTGACTAGTTTCCCTGGTACTCCATAGTGGCACTATGGAGTAAAAATGGTAATATAATATAATAGTAAAATGGAATATTTACACACACAAAAACAATATCGGCAAACTATTTATAAGTTTAAACCTGTTTTTTGTGTGTTCCAGAGAAAAAGTTTTATTCAATTATGCCAAGTTTACTTCTTATGCGACATCGGTAGGCATGACTTTTTTTTCTATCTTTACATGTTAAGAGGTTAAATCTATCAATTTATTTAAATTATTTTAACATCATTTTGACAGTTTTTAAACATTGTTTTGATCATGATCATTAAAATTAAACAACTTTTGACTAACTGGTGAAGTTCAACTCAATCCAGTGTAAAATTGTCATAATAATTAATTTGTTGAAACATTTTGTTAACATCAGACCTCTGTTGAGGTTATAGATTATATTATGCATGCTGTTAACTTGATCACATTCAGTGAGCCATTTTATGGGAACTCAAAGCCGACAGGCACAAAAAAATCACCAGCAATTAAGAAATATTGACAATAACTTAACGCTATTTTTTTCTGTATATAAAATTACTGATATCCTGAAGGCTGCCCTGGTGATGTTTGAACTCGCTTGGAAGCTCTCCAAAGACACCAACAACCTGTTGTGGTAAGTTCTGGAACGTGCCTTGTCTGAAGATTAAAATAACAGAACAAGTTTGATGCGCCTGAAAGAGGTCTTTAAACAAAATGTGTGCAGACTTTAACTCCATCAGTTAAAGTAATGTTATTTTTCTTTCATTTGTAAACAACGAAAAAATTTATGGCAATATATGAAGAGTCGAATTTCAAAACGCAGTTTTCGCCATTTTGAAAAAAATGAGATTACTGAAAATTCTTGTTGAGCAAACCAGGTTCCTTTAGGACATGTTAAAGTTTACCTACAAAACACATTTTAATACTATATTATTCTATGTATAAAAATGATTTTATTTTATAAAACGCGGTGTGTATTTTTTATTTTTATTATCAAAATGCTGTAATATATTTTTTCGGACCAATCAGTGTGATTGATAAGCTATTCTGCGCATAAGCACTAAACATCACGACGCGAAACAACAACAAACACGGTGCATAACGACGGCCAGGATGAAAAAGTTGTTTGTACTATAAAATCACAACAAAGAAAGAAAAAAAGCTCAACACGAGAAAAAGACAAATCATTTCGCCATTCAAGCGGATGAAAGATCCCCTCAGTTACGTGTAATCACGATAGATGATTCTGCAAGGTGAGTTACCGGTAACTTTATTAATATTAAAAAACCATTAAATTTTACATTATTATTATAATGATTATTGTTACTACCCATGAGAAGTGTTAAGGAAATGAAAATAAAAAGTTGCTTTACAGAGTTAGCTGTGTTATTTATTACACATTCAATCTTTTACATGCAGATCCAGCCATGACAGAAGAAAAGGGTGCTCAAGGACAGAAATATTTGCACCCTGATTTGAATGTAAATAAGAAGCATCAACTTTTCTTGGAACAAAACCAAACTGCTATTGAAGATGATGCACACTCTGAATCAGACACTTCATTATTTTCTATTTTGTTGTTCTAAATTCAAATAAAACGATTTGTGAATTGAACATTATCTTGTTTACTTTTGTTTAGAATTCAGAAATATAAAAACAAATTATGCAAACTTACAGCACTCTAAACATTACACTATTACAAGCGACTTTCCAGCATTTATAATACTGTTCTGTTAAAATATATCAATAAAAAAACATTAATCATACACAATTATGTAATGTATATGATAGAATTTAATTTAATTTTGTTATGTAAGTGGTTTGTAATCTGTAAACAACTTGAATTATTTGCTAAGGGGAATAATGTTACGCTATCAAAATGGATATACAGCATTTTGTCGCTAAGTTACAGCTGGAAACACAGCATTTTGAAACGAAATAAGAAATTCAACTAAGTAAATAAATACATTTTAATTAACCTACATTTCAATTTTCATTATAATATAACTTATATTTTGAATATATACCTAAATTAACATTTAATTTTCTGAAAATTTGAGCCATCATTGTGAAGCAGAAAAAGTCGATTATCTCAAAACGCCAAAAATGGATGTACAGCATTTTGAAAATCGACTCTTCATATAATGTTTTCAAAGCAGAAATCATTTTAAAAAACATAGGAAAAGGAAGACACGGTGCACATTTTTAAAAATACTTGCAGCTCTTAGGTTCGATGTAAAAGTTGTTGGCTTTTTCTTGTGTTGATAAATGTACCTGGCATATCTTTCTTTCACCATGCACATCTGATGGCCTTCTTGGCAAAATGTTCTTAATGATTTAAAAACATATTTTACAGGTTGGCCATAGTGGGGGTTACTGATCAGTTCATTCATTTTAAAACACCTCGTGAGAAGTACATGGAAGACATCATAGCCCTACAGTCTCATGTGACTCGCCACAATCAAAGGTTTGTACTATTTTTAGTGAAATATTTCGAGATGTAAAGTACAACCGGTACTGAGAAGTTTTTTTATATCTCATTTTAGATTTGTTTTTTTTAAGTTGTGTGTTTGCTAAGCGGATTTATAAATTTTTTTGGTTGTTTTTTTTTTAGTTTTTACGAGTTCATAGTTTTTCAATGTTGGTGATCAAATATTTTTTTATAATTTGATTAGGTTGTGATATTCTTCTAGTAGAGGACCGGTATGTCTGAATAGAGTAAATTGAATATACAATCCCAGGTGCATTTGTAGAGTTGTCCAGAGCATGTGAATCTTTCAAATAAAATATGAAGTATGATAATCCCGAATACAGCATGTTAGTTTTAGCTTTTTTACTTCAAGTGTTGCAAGTTGATTGTTATGGGGAGTGTGAATTGGAACCACAGACAGACACTGTGTTAAATCAACCCTAAAGAAAGCCATAGCTGTGTCTCTGAGTTGTTGTGTATGTGAATGAAACTGCAAATGCAAATATGAGAGCCTGTAATGTTAGCTGCTGTCTGATCATTTCAGTTCGATCTATGAACTTTACCAGGTAATCTGGTACTAAACTAAAATTTTAAGGAAACTTTACTAAAATTGATTAAAAATCTTTGCCACTGCATTTTTTGTTGAGATACAGGCTTTTGTTAATTTTGTGTACCTAAGTGTGAATCTTAACTCTAGCTCATAGCTAAGGATTATTTACGATTGTGTCTTTTCATCTCCATCTCATAAATTAACTTGGTTTTCATATTTGTGACATGTTGGCATAATCATAGAATATTTATAGTCTAGTGTGTGTAATTAGTACCTAGTTTGTGTTCCTTAGTACTGTAACTGAGAAATTAATATCTCAACAGAGGAAGTGATGATGAGAACATCATGTCAGTGAACTGCTTGCGGATATCATTTGAGGAAGAGCTTAACCTGTGTCTTTATCGACACTGGACCCTTTTTGAGAGCATATGTCACTCAATGGCTATAGCATGCAAACTGCGACTCTGGTCTTTGAAAGGACAGAAGAGACTGCACGAGTTTCTGGCTGAGATGGGGTAAGCATGATAATAAACACCTTTAAAATGTAAATTTATCATCTTAAAGAAACTATTTTAGTGAATTCTGCTTCTGAATCGAGAAAGTTATTTAGAAATGGATCCCCGAACGGGTTTTCTATGAATTCAAAGAGAATTCAAGACCTGACATATTCAAGTTGATCTCAAAGTGGTAATCTTGAAAGTCTTTTAAGTACATTGCATGTACAGTGGGAAATAGTTTGAAAAATTGTGTTAATGCGCTTTTAAGCTACCATACTAAAATTCACTTGAATGTTTACTTTCTGGTAGTTTGCCCTTGAATCAGTGTAAGCAGCAATTTAGTGCGATGGAATCAACTATGAAACCTGAGGTTAAAACCAAGATGCAAGAATACATGACCAAGTATGGGTGAGTAATTATCCAATATTGTTAAAGAGTTGCTTCAGAAGCATTTTTGGCATCTGCTATAGGGACCATATCACAAATGATACAGTGAAAGAAAGGGTTCGCCTGGCAATTGGGGAGTACGATAACCTACTGGTGACTGTGAAAAAACGCAAACTACAATGGTACGGCCACGTAACAAGGAAACAAGGGCTTGCCAAAGAAATATTGCAGGGCACCACAAGAGGAGGGAGAAGAAGAGGAAGACAAAGAAAAAGATGGGAGGATAACATCAAAGAGTGGACAGAACTAACACTGGGCGATGCTGTGCGTAATGCAGAAGACAGAGACGAATGGAGGAGGATAGTCAGCTGTGCATAATGCAGAAGACAGAGATGAATGGAGGAGGATAGGTCACATGTCATCTGTGGCACCCCAATGGTCCAAGGACAAAGGGACATGATGATGATGATGATGATGAATTTGCCATGTCTTTAGCCAGAACAACATTCATTGTCAAATAACATGATTCCCACATTATGTCTGTCCTAAACTAACTCTGAGTAGAGACAATCTTTGGAACATTGTTGTATATTTAAAATATGGGTCCCAATTAAAAGGGTTCTTGAACACTTCTTTAGCATACCCGGTACAATTGTTAGCTAGAGATACCACCATTACATTTAAAACAGTTGCATTTTCAGAAACTGCAAATTTTTCACTTTAACATTGTTTACTTTAATTATTTATTCAGTCTTAACACACATCTTTTTTAATTGGTGTTATGGGTTTCTATTAAAATGGGTGTAATGGTCTTCTATTACTTAAAACACAGCTTTGAAGACTTCCTAGACTTATATGCACTATTCAATTCCCTTTAATATACTTGTTTCCTTCATGCTGGATACTTGGCAAAATGATTTTATGTCCTTGTGATTTTTATATTACTTACTTATATTACCATAGGTGGATAACTCTAGTATGATTTATCCCTTGTTTGTAACTAGGGGTGTTATGTGAAGAGTCAAATCAACCATCAAGGAACATATTCTCACTCAAAGGCACTTATGTGTAATTGAAAAGAAGTCTAAAACCAATTCCATTAGAATGAAACAAACCTATTTATTTACATTAAATGTACAACACATCATAGAAATCAAAATCTTTAAAGTATGATAATCAATTGCTTACAGCCTAGGAATGGCTTAGATCAACCCTTGTTTATAACTTTACAACCTATATTCTAATGACTTATAGATATGGGCCTCCTGTAATAACCCAACAACTCATCATCATTACATATTGCTTTGTAGTAAGACCGTTTACTACTTATCTTATCAATATTAAATAATTGATAGATCAATACACAAGGTCACTTTAATGTTGAAGTAGGGCCTCCTCCCTTCACCTCAATCCTCAGGGTGGGGACGGATGTGGACTTCCCATCTGTAAGTTGTGGAATAGCCTTTCCGTTTGTACTTTGTGGGATGGATTTCCCAGCGGTATGTTTTATGTGTAGAGTCCCAGAAATTCGCAGTCCTATGTGATGCAGGCTCATGATTTGGTAGATGAATGTGTAGCATTTGGCTGACTCCTTGAAGTCGGGTCTTGTGGCTTATCCTTAAATCCAGCTGCTGAGGCGCAATGGTTTCTTGCAATGCGGCAACCAGGTAGGTAAATTTCTGCCGGCTTTTTGTCTCTCACGGCAGGGGTGCAAGCAGGTAAGAAGTGTTACCACAGCATGTTAAGATTAGAAAGACCGTAATTTCGTTCTAACTTGGCATATATCTAATCTAAGGTGGGGGAAATTTATCATTGGCTGACCTCAATCATGAGGTTTGATTATGGCCACTGAAATAACGGTCCTAATTCAGCTGCTGTTTTCTACCACAAACAACTGTTAACTGCATCAAGTCTCTTTATGTGAGATGTAATTGTATCTCTTCCCAGTTTGGTTGTTCAAGATGTTATCCTGCCATCCTTCTCCCTCCAGTATGGTTACAAGAACCTTATGTGTGCCACAGATTACGTATTGGCATGTACGGCAGTGCTTGAGTCAGTGGTTAGTAAAAGAACTCTCTTTTGAAAACTTTTTCACAAAATTTTAATGTACAAAAATACAATAATTTCAGTGCAGCGTTAGGCAATGAATTAAAATCAAGTTATTGAGGAAAGCACTAGTGCATGCGTTCTTAACCTGTAGTCCACAGAGATGCATTTCTGTTGTAATTTTATTATATTTATCTAAATACTTTATTATAAGGTGTCCATGACCTTCATCATCTGTCTGGCAAAAGTTGATGGACTAAAAAAATGTTAAGAAAACTGGCACTAGTGCCTGTCTTGGCTTCTGGAAGACCTTGAGAATCTTAAATTTAAATGAAGTATTTAACAAAATTTTCTCTACCACAGGATAAATCAAAACATTCTACTGACAATTTTCTAGAAGCGTCTGATATATTACAGAGGTAAGTTGAAGGAAATATTTTACTTAATTTTATGAAACTAACAACATTTATTCAAAAAATCTTGACTCATGCTAAAAATTAACATTATAATGCTTAAATTATTTGCATACTCCTGTCACCAATTATTATGTCTGGTCTTCCTCTTTTCCAGAAGTAGTAGTGAAAAATTTGAGGCAGGTCTGGCCTCTGCAAAGCTTCAGCTGAAAAGTGTTGTATCTCAAGTCCAGAGTTTTCTAGACATGCATCAAATAATATCCGCTGGACCCTTTTTGTATGTTTTTGTGCAAGAGGTAATAAGATAACATGGTATTCTACCTGCTATTTGAATTGTTTTACTTTTACTAACAGTGCTGTTAATTCATTATATCGGTACAATATGGTTGCATCATTTCATGCCAAACATATGCATGGCTTTTTGAGTCAAAGCTTTAATCAAATACAATTGGTTGAAGTTGTTAAGATTTTTGGCGAAGGGGGTGGGGTGAGTATGAGTCTTGTCTTTCCCCAGTCCCTTTAAAAAATAATATTTGCTGACATTTAATTTAGATTATTTTAAGTTTAATAAATTGAAAGATCTAACTTCCTTAATGACCTTAAACCTCTCAGGGAACAGCAGATTCACGTTTCTTTGCACACCCACAGTGTTTGATTAGACTGGCCAGGTTTTCACTTCAGGCTCACTGTGCAGTGGTAGGCCAAATTAATTATGAATAAAGTCAACTTTTTTAATACTTGATCACAACATATTGTCAACATTTTAGCATTTATGTTTCATTACGTGTTCACAGCATTTTAGTGTTATGTAAAATATTTTATGAAAATTTCCATATTTATTAGCCTTGTCCATTTATGGAAATTATCAATTTGCACTGATTTATGATAAACTAATTTAGATCATTGTTAACCTTGACAGTGTTCTTACTATTTGGCAATAGAGATTATAAATTAAATCACAAGAATGTTAATTAAAAAAGATAAGAATAACAAATATGTCATAAAATTGTATATGATTTCATTTTTTTAAACAATCAAGAGTAGGAACAAACGGGCCCAAAGTCTTCCGTTGGTGCTGGGAGCTCCCTACAATTTGGAAGAAGGGACAAGTTTGGTTGTTGGCATTCCACCTCTTGATACAGATGATGAAAGGAAAAAGTGAGCCAAATTTCTGCAAGTTAAATTGGATTAGGTCAACTGTGGGGTTACATAATAACTATTAATTTGGATCCATTGTATCTATCTTATTTTAACATGATTAGAATAAGGGTTCAAGAAAAAAATACAATTTTAAACTGACCAAAAAAATTATTATTCTACATTTATATCAGATCAAATAATCTAGTTATTGGTTTTATCAGAAAAGGGGGGTTCCTCAACTCAATCTACTCAAAATCCCACTTGAAGTTATTAATGTGATGGCACTAGCTCTACAACATTACATTTATTCAAAATTTTCTCTTTATTGCAATATGAACAGAACTCATACTTGCAGTCTGCAGGAGAAATCTTAGACCAAAGTGTTGTAATCTTATACCTAGGTAACTTCTTAGCTTACAAGGGATACAAGTAAGAGCTGGTGACTTCTAAGTTTTCTTTCTGTTTCATTTCAGTTTTTTTGGCAAGGCATTTGAGCAAGCTTCAAAGTCCACCAGTACAACAGCGAAATTTCACAGTTTTGATTCCTACAGTAAGTACTGGTACCAAAATATAAAATATTCTAAACATAATGAGTAAATGCAACAGATTTTGTTGTGGAAATTAAGACTACTTAACAAGGAAGATTTCTTGTTTAATGCTTGCTATAATAAAAAAAAAACCACAAAGCATACCTTTATTTTGAGTTTGCTTAAGTTGTATGTTTCATATTTCACGTAGGAAATTAAAACATTGAGCAAGCCGGCCAGCTAATCAGATAATTAAAAAAATTGCCTCAGATTGGAGTGCAACAGAACAGGTGTATCCCCATAGAAATTAAATATTGTTAGCTTAGGGCTGAGCCCAGTATTTTGAGAAAATATTTGATGGGTCATAGTCTGGGTATTACAAAAAAGTGAGTAATATTCTCATTTTCTATTGTGTTCTACCCAATATGGAGAACTGAACTGATCATGTATAGAACCAGTAGCATCATGAAAGCATCAACGTTTGAAGGTTTCAAAACACTAATAATTAATAATATAATCCTAACCCAGCGGTTCTCAACTTTTCTCAACCCCTTTCTAACTTTAGCCAAGTTGTAGCAACCCATAGCCAGGATTGTAACTAGAAATTTTGAAACAGATTTTGAGAAGTGGGGATGGGGCAGCGCTTTTTTGTAGATAAAAAGGTGTTGTAGTGATATTTTGATAAGGAATGGAGGGAAGCAGAAATAAGTGCTAAGAAGTGTGGAGAGTTCTTTTGAAGAGGGTGCTCTGAAAGTCTGACGCTAGAAAATTTTGGCACCAGGTTTTGCATGGAACTGCCAACTTTTTAGTTGGGGAAAAAAATGAAACAAGAAAAATAAAAATCTTTTAAAAATTAAAACAAAGGAGAACAAACTGCTAAAATATTTTTTATTAAATTAGCTGCTGACATCCACTGAATACATAAAAAATTTTTTTAACGTTTATGAAACTGTAATGTAGTCAGACTGCAGTAATAATTAGTCTGATTACTTTAAATAATATTTTAAAATGAAAATTGAAATTTAAAAAATTACATATGAGAGGCTCATAAATGATTCACACACAAACAGAACTTAGCTCTTCAGTATTGTGAAATTAAAAATCAATTTTAAGTAGAAAGTGCCATGGTTTTAACCAAAGATTTGCATCTCTTTTAAACAAATAATAACAAAATTTTCAGCAAGTACATTATTATTTCCAGAGTTTTGCCGCTTCAATTAGATTACAATTAGTTTCGGCACCAATCGCCCATCAGTTTTCTCTTTTTATTTAATTCAGGTAAAATGTAAACAAAATAATGCAAAAAAGATGTACTGGTTCTATTATGCATGCACTTTTCTTTTCACTCCATTGAATTGGATGGAACACATTAGAAAATGAGAAGATAACCCTCTTTTTTTGTTTTAAAACCCGGACATGGTTCCATTTTTTGCCAGGTCTGGGGTATGTACCATGTGTGCTAATACTTGGAATTTCCAAGTATCCAGATTAGTACTCTTCTCAGCCCTATTTTAGCTCATAAAGGAAAGTAATTTTGCTTTTTTGTGCAATCACTAATACATATAATTTTTTCTCTCCTTCTCTAGTCATAGAGATGAAATCGGAAGACAAAAGCAAATTTTTTGATGCATTGATCAGCATTCTTCAGTGAATGGAGGAGTTATTCTTTTGGTATAGCGTTCATGAACCTTTTTCATATCCTATTTTAGTTTATGTAATTTGTAATTGAACCACTAGAGATGTCCATGTGCCATGTGGTGTAGCATTTTTGTCTTATTTGAAATTTTTGTGACCACAATATTTACCTTGTTAAGTCAAAGTATTTACTATGACCCAATTTAGGTATGATCCTTCACATTTTGTTGAAATTAACTGTTCTTGTAAATTTAATTTATTAAAGTATGTACCGGTACCTGAGACTCCTAGGTTATACTTTTTTTGTAAATAAAAAAATTATTGATAACTTTTCAGTCATATATTGTAATTAAATCAGGATGAATTTTAATGGCATCTTTGTTAAACTATCAATTTAACATGAATGCATTTCAGTTATATTGTAACAAAAAAATGGAGATTAAGACATAATTTCAACTTTTTAAAAAAAATTGTTTTTTCTTCAGAAATACTTTTTATTGTAGTTACTCACACCTATCACAAAATTAGTCCAGGCTTGAAAAGGAAGTTTACCAATCAGTCTTACCTGAAAATGGTAAATGGTCAAATCTCTTAAAGGAAGCATGTACTCCACAGATGTATTTCTTGATCTGAAGAGCTCAATCAATGACTTTCTCCTTTCCCCCAGCCATGTGTTTGTTAATTTGGATTTTATATTTATTTCATTGAAATTTGTGTTGTTCTTGGGATACAACTTTTTATTCTGTGTATTTCTATGTATTCTCTTTTATTAAAATATACTGGTACACATTTATTTGTTACCCACCCAAATCATATGCATTTGATAATTGAATAATTTTTACCCATAGATAACAGACGAATCTAAATTTTTATACATCATAGTTGTGCTCAAATTTGATAACTAATGAAGAAAAATTCATTAATTAATAATGCCTCATAATTTTTCTCATAGATTTGAAGCATTTAGGAATTTTATGTCAATTTCAAACAAAATGTAAAAAAACTGTGTCTAACGTTGAATTTAAAAATTTATTGAATGAAATTGTGTGTACTGGTAGCCATTTCTAAATAAAGAGTGAGACTTGTAATCTTGATTATGTGCACAGTAATGTAAATAGCTTGCTCAAATTTCATTTTATATCAATGGTTTATTATGTAAGTGTAAATAACATTTAACAAATCTTTTTTTTTGTCCAGTACAGATTTAAGCAAATTAACATACTTTTATCCTCCCCCTCAAAAGTATCTATGAAATATTGGGTAATGGTTCAAATATTAAAGTCTGGTGAACATGATTTAATAATTTTCTTGTTCATACCTTTTTAAGATTATGTTACCGTTTTGCATTTAGCTTAACAGGAATTTTATAATGTGAAGAGATTAAATAAATCAGTTTTCAAGGATTCAACCTTGATGACGTTCTTGAAAGTGTTTTTGCAAGTGTATTAACAATTCTTAAAGATGAACAACTATCCAAAATTAAAGTAAAATCAAAACGCCTTTCATTAAATAAAAGTTCGACAAAGAAAATCTGGACTACCATTACATTTTTAATGTATGTTTTCAAGTTATTTTATTTGTATTTCAAAATCTTCATGAGAGGAATAAAGTTATCCTTAGCTTTAATTCATGTGACTTCAAATATATTAACTATATCATCTTAACTTTCTTTGAAACTGAAAAGTACTCTAATATATTTTGAAGAATAACATTAATACATTCCTTAATTTCATCAATTAGATAAGGGGTCACCAAACTACAGCCCGCGGGCCGGATCCGGTTCATATGGTTCGCCGACCGTAATTGAATTTGCTTGATAAAACATATGGAACACAAGATGTTGTGATACAATTTAAATATGTTAAGAATATTAGAAGATCGTAACATGTGCGGAGACCTTCTGGCTTCTAACTTCTATGCGCCTTAAATTAACTATTTTCAATTTTAAATTATTGTGTCTAGATTTTCTAGTTTATTGTAGAGCTGTTTAACCTCGAACTCCTAAAATCATACAATATAGTCTCAAAATCGTACAATGTGGTATCTTAATAGTAAATAAATAAACGCACAGTGTCTATTGGGATCGAGTTAAGCTGGCATAAAAAAAGTTGACTTTTTAAAAGTAGATGACCGACGTGTATATTGCAATCTGCGATTACTTTTCTTTGCAGACGTGTATTTGCTATACATATTCATTTATATTGAGAGGACATACAGATCACATTATCACATGTAAAAATTAAGTTACTGGTGAAATTTAATGTTGTTCATACTTGAAGTCAGGTCAGCACAAAACAAAATGTATTCAAATAAGAATTAATTAACAAATGATGACATCATTTAAAAACCTACCAAGTATCTTGAGGTTGTTTTTTTTTTACAGGAAAAGCTGTTTAAAAAAATAAGAATCAATATCAACATAGTGCTACAAATACGTGAGAAAGCTAGGAACTTGCTGTATTATTCTCTGGGGCTGGATGAGTCTGCTGATCTCTCGAGTACATCACAACTTCTCGTGTTAATTTGTGGCATCAATTTGGACTTTCAGATAGCGGAAGAGTTGGCATCCGTTTGCAGTATGCATGGAACAACTGGAAAAGACATTTTCATAGAAGTGCAAAAACTTTTGCAAGAATATATAACCTTCAGTGGAATCAGCTTTGAGGTGAAAAACGTGGCTGGAGTGAGGAAAGGTCTTGTAGGGAAGATCAGGACTCCGAAGATTTGCAAATTCTTGGCTCTCTGTTCTTAAACTGCATCACACATCAGCAAGCACTCTGTTGGAAAGACTTAGATGTTTCTTGTTTACTGAAACCAGTCAGTTCTGCTATGAACTTCATTCAGGGACATCCAGGCTTTTCTTGAAGAAATTGATTCTGAATTCTGTGACTTGCCTTAACATTCTCACTGAAAAAGATAGAGCTGATCCACAGCTCTCAGATCATACCTGACTGTCAGATCTTACATCACATCTCACATAAATGAACTGAACTTGAAACTTCAGGGAAAGGATAACCTCACCTGTGATCTCTACAGAATCATCAAAGGATTTCTGAGAAAGCCGTCATTGTATGAAACACAACTGAAGGAGAAAAATTTTCAGAGTTTTGCTCTATAATCAATGAGCATATCAACCTCAATTTTCAGAAAAAAATTATTCGTGACCCGAAGAAGCATTTGTGGGAAATATTTTCAGACCTTGACAAGTCTGTGAAGTCATCACATTGAATGTGAATGACTGATGACCTTTTGAAAAAAATTCTCTTGATTGATGCAACAATTCCAAACCAAACATTGATGATATTTTGAAAGCCAAACCTCACTTTCACAAATCTCAGTAACCTTTTTTTTCTGCTTATTTTATGTAGGTTGTCTTTGTTTTTGTGCATTGCACACCACTCTCCCATGATTAACATGGAATACTAAACTTAGTTTTTGTCTTTTTTCCCTGAGCTTTCGTTCTGGCTTGCAAATATTGTGCAGAATATTTATACTGCCTGCGCTCGTCATGTCATTTTGTCCAATGTCCCGCCCGCTGTGAAAAAAGTCTGGTGACCCCTGAATTAGATTGAACAACTGAGGTGTTAATACTACATTTGAACTCAATCTAAATACTGGCATATTATATTGTTGAGATTTTTATATGTTAGCATACAGTATTCGCACTGGTTATCTATTATCAATATATTTTAAACACCTAATGGAACATAAGAACACCTAAAGGAATGAAAGAACGCATAATTTATACATTTTTTGTCTATTTAAATAATTTAATACGGTAATTATAAATAAAGATCTCATAAAATATTTTAAATAAAATACATTAATTATTATACATAAACCATTGCATGGGTACAAAATATCTGAAGCTTATATTTATAAATATAGAAATCTCTTTTCAGCAGAAACACATATTTAATAATAACTGTAAACCTTCACTTCTACCACACATAAAAATATTGGTCTATTTTTTTTTGATCCCATGATAATGGTAGTATGATGTTTTCTTTTCTTTGGATGCTATTGTAGATACTTAAAATGAATACTTATAACTTCTACAGTCTGAGTATATTATTAGTTTTGTTGTCATTTCTGATTGTGTTGGTCTGAAGTGATAGAGTGATGTTTGTGATGTGTTGACAGTTAATTGGCGTCACTATTATTAAATTATGGTGGTTGCTTCTTTTCCTCCCATCATTTATTACTTTAATTTAAAGTGACATCACTCTTGATCACAAGAGAAAATCGTATTTTAACAATAGAATCATGCAGTTTTATGATTATTAATTTGGTAATTTCAGGAATGAGACCTAAGTTCATCAAAATATATTTCTTATACAAATTTATTGAAAATAGAATTATAGGAATAAAATTTGCCTATTCCTCCTGAAGGAAAATTTAATAGAAAATTATAAGGCGACAAAAATAAAAAGAAAAATAAAAGGAAACAAAAAAAAAAGGGGGGGGGGGAGAGGACGAAGACAATAAGAGCACTGCAATAAATACTGGAGAATTAAAGCACAATAAATATTCTTTTTTCGTACAAAGGGCTTTAACTCTATCTTACTAAGTTCCCCACCTTGCATCCGTTATCAGGTAAAAGTCTGATTAAAAAATGGAATGAGCAAAATAAATGTCTTTAAACCCTGTGACCAGAAAAGATAGTATGTCACTTCAACAAATCACCCATTACTCATCTGATTAATATAATGCTGAAAATAGAACAGCATGGTATCACATCCACTCTCATTATATAAACAATTAAGGCTGGTCAGCACATTGACCGCTCATGCATCTTTCAATTAAATTTTTTTTTATAAAAATTCAATACTTTCAACTATATATGTCAAGAAACAATTTTAATAAGAATAATTTTAAAAAAAAACTTATTTAAAAATAAAAATAAAAGGTTAAGTAGCTTCCTTATAATTAAGAATACTTTTAAAAAGTTGTTTAAATTATTTATTACCATTCCGTTGAGGGGAGGGGGGCAGTGGACAAATGATTTCACATTGA